ACATACAGGGAATGTATTTGCATTTTACTCTGAACTGGATCCTCCTGCCCTTGCTTACTAATGGATGGGAAGATTTAGATCCTTCCAGTTATAATGATTTGTATCCTGACTGTGTCGTTTCCATTTTTCCTTTATGGAGATCATCATGATATATTTTACCATTTCTCTCATTTTCCCTTTCTGCATGTTGGCCTTTGAAGATTTTATTATGCCTCTCTATTCTGTTAATGACCATCTTCCCTTCCCATGCTCTTCTGATCAGGTGCCTATCACTCCATTCTTATTTAAAAAAAAAAACAAAAAACAACATTTGCCCCCGCCCGTCACCTTGCTTCCCACCTGAGATGCTCTGCTCCTCCCACTTCCTCTCCACCCTTGAGAAAGACCTTTAGGAGACCTTCTTCCCTATTTCCTCTCTTCTTAGCCTGAGACCTTAAAAGGCTTTCTCTCTCGGTTCCCCACCCAGTCCATCTCCAACCTGTAGGTTGTGAAGATATAGTTCAATTTGCCCTTAGAATGTTTATTCTGTATTGTCTTTATGTAGCATGCAGATTGTACACTCCCAGGCATTTTGTCTTCATCCATTTGGATTTAACTTATCTTCTTTTCTTGCCTTTCAATTTATTTATCCATTTTCCCATCCATCCACCCATCTTTCTATCCATCTACTCACTTATCCATCTAGCCATCCATCCATTCATTCGTCCCTCCATCCATCCCTATCCAACTGTTCATCCATCCACCCATCCATCCACTTATTCATCTATTCATCCACCTATCCATCCAATCCATCCATCCATCCATCCATCCATCCATCCATCCATCCACTTATTCATCTATTCATCCACCTATCCATCCAATCCATCCATCCATCCACCCATCCATCCACCCACTCCGTACACTCCTCCATTCTTTTGCAAAGTGGCTTCCTCTCCTCTTCATCTTCCCCTATTTGGAGGACTCTCCTAGCTCACTGGCTCGGTGTTGCCAGATGAGTTATGCAGATGACATTTTTCTCTCCCTCTCTATTCTCTGTTCAGCTGTCCGCCTCAGAGACTCCTCTCCTGACCAAATACCCCCAGCCTCAGTGCCCTTTCCTGATCATGTTCCTTCATGCACGTAGCACCTCCTGACATTCTTTTTATGTCTGTTGTTCACCTGTTTATTTCCTGTCTTTCCCACTGGAATTTTAAACTCCTAAAGGAAGATCCCTTATTTTATTGTCTTTTGTATCCTGGTGCCTGGGACAGCAACTGGCTCAAGAGTTGATGCTCAGAAAATAATTGCTGATAAATACACTTTGCATATCTTCAAATATCTTTCTTCTTCTGCCCTGATAAGGGCGGGGGTGTGACATCTTCACTGTGAACAGAGCCCTGGGCTGGCACCCTTTCCTTGCAAGGGACCATTGCAACCTTCCACTGTCTTCTGCTCTCCAGGGCTGCACATGATATGTCTGGTGCCAGCTCATCCGTCTATATTTTGTGATTTAAGCGGTGCTGAACTTGTGTATTTTTGGTTCTCCAGCATTGTGTTTCTGTCATTCAGCCCCCGGCACAATGCCTCACGCACACTAGGTGTCTCAGTTCATCCTGTGCAGCTATAACCAAACACCTAAGGCTGGGAACTTTATAAATAAAGAGGTTGATTTGGCTCATGATTCTATTGGCTGGAGGGTCCAAGGAGCTTGGTGCTGGCATCTTGGTAAGTCATGGCAGAGAAGTGGAATGGGAACCAGCCATGTGGAGGAGAGGCTAAGCACACAGGGCGGCTTTGCTTTATAACAACCTGCTCCCTTGAGAACCAGCAGGACTGAGAGAACTGCACCAGCCTCACCAGGTGCTTCCCAGGACCTAACCTAACCACCTCCCCTTAGGCCCCACCCCTTAAAGGTCCCACCCCTCTCAACATCACCCCACTGAGCACCAAGCTTCTCACACATGAACCTTTGTGTGACACACTCAAACACGTCCAGACCATATGGAGGAGCCCCCCAAATACTTGTAGTGAGTGGATCTAAGGGAGAGAGGGCCTGGAGACTGCTGAAGGAATACGAGGCATCTCACAGAATGCTTGGCCCGCCAGCTACAGGGGTGTTCTAGATCTCTGCTTCTCAAAGCAGGTCCCAGGCCAACCCCATTAGCCCTGCCTGGAACTAGTTACGTGTGCCCATTGAGGGTCTCCCTCCAGGCCTCCGGAACCAGGGACTGGGGGTACAGCTCAGCGATGTGACTCATGTCATAGCGGGAGAAACTGAAGTTGGGGGCAGGGATGTGGCTGTGGAACTCCATGTTCTCCGGGACTAGCGCCGGGCCAGAGCTGCAGGACTGGGCCCTGCGCCCGGCCAGCTTCCTGCCTCGGCTTGCTCTGTTCTTGTTTCTTTTCTTTTTAAATATATTTTAGTCATACATGGACGCAATATCTTTATTTTGTTATTTTTATGTGGTGCTGAGGATGGAACCCAGGGCCTCACATGCGCGAGGCAAGCGCTCTGCCGCTGAGCCGGGCCCCAGCCCCCGCCCCAGCCTTCGCCCCAGCACCAGCCCCGGCCCCAGCTGTGTTCTTGTTTCTTTTTTGTAATGTAAAGGAGCCTGGCATTTGTCAAGACATTTCAAAGCCCTGGGATCCAATCTCCACTCCAACTGAGTTTCTGGCTTTTCTATGATTTAAGAAAAGGTGAGCTGGAGTTGTTTTGGTGGCTTTGGGCAGTGGAAAGGAGCCAGGCGCTTGCAGGACTTGTCACGGGCGGGGGGCGGGGGTGCTCCTTCCCGCTGGCTGCTCCGTTGTGCCCTTGCGCACAGCCCACGACCAAGGTTCTCCTGTGCCTGGGACAGAGTTGTGATGGGGTCAGCGCTGGCCCAGGAGGACGAGGAGCTTCCACAGGGCGCAGGTGCCTCTGTCCTGCTCTTCTCCCTGATGTCCTGGGTTCCTTTCCGTCTGTTCTCACAGGCAGACTCCTGTGTTTTCATCTCTTGGTCTTAACTTGTGGGCCCCTGCCAGGTGGCTGCTGCAGGCCCCTTACCTGGAGCTTCTGGAGTAGACTTTCTACCTTAGGAAAGCTATCGACACACAGAGGGCTGCACAGGCCCTGCAGTTCCCGCGTGCCCACCGCCCTGCACCCTTCTTCAGGACCTTAGGACCAGAGTATGGAGATGCTAGAGCCGGGCAGCGGCGCTCTTAGACAGATCTCTTTAGAGAAGCTTCCCGAGGCCTTCTGTTGGCTCAGTCCACCTTCACTCGTTGAATCCTTATCTGTGGACTCCATGTCCATGGGTTCAGCCAGCCATGCACTGAAGATGTTGGAAAACACCCTGCATCTGCCCTGGACAATCACAGACCCCCAGCCATTGCTCCTAATCATGGATGATCTGCACAGATTCACGTCGTCTCATGTGTCAGAGTGACCTAGAGATGGCGCGTGCCTGGGAGATGGGCGTAGGTTGTTGGAAAGTGCTCTGCCACTGTGCACGAGGCACTCAGGGTCCTCAGCGTTGGGTCTGTTGGGATCTGGGAACCAGGCTGTGTGGGGGGTCCACTGTACCTATCATTTGTCAGGCTCTGGGAAACTCATAGGGTGGGCACAGTGATGAGCGGGACAATCCCTACATTCTAGGTTCATCTGTCCAAGAGTAGAATTTATTTTACTAATATACGTCTTTTATTTATGACTTTATATATAAATAAATAAATAAATAAAATAACCAACTGACTTTGACTGAATCCTTTCCAAGAGTACGGTTCAGTAGGTCAAGTACGTTGGCTTTGCCCGTTTCCTTCCTACCCTGCCTGTCGGGGCCCTCTGGACTCACTGCCCATTTCCCTCCCCAGCCCCTGGCGCCCCTATCCACATGCTCGCTATGGATTCGCCTGCTCTAGGTGGCTGAGGTGAGTGCAGGCCTGCGGCACTTGTCCCTTGTGACTTGTGTGTTCCCATGATGTCCTCGAGGCTTGCCCATGAGTCATGTGTGTAGGATTCCCTTCCTTTCCGACGATGGGTGGCTCTGTGTTGTATGTACAGACCTTTCTTTCTTTACTTAGTCACCCACAGTGGGGACCCGGTCAGCTCCCACCTGTTGGCTGTTGCACACGGTGCTGCTAAGGTATGAGTGTAGGTGTCCGCTGTCCACTGTATTGTTGCTTCTGGTTCTCTTGGGTATATGCTATGAAGTGGCATTGCTGAGTCACACAGAACGCAGTTTTAATTTTTGAGGAAGTGCCACACTGGTTGCCCACGGTGGCTGCACCATTTTGCACTCCCATCCATGTGCACAGAGATTCCAGCTTCTCCGTCTCCTACCACCATGCCTTGTGGTTGTTATTGAATAGCTATCCTAACAGAGGTGAAGTGGCATCTCCTGGTTTATGTTTGCATTTCCAGATAATTGGTGATGTTGATCATCCTTTCATGAACTTGTCGGCTGTTTTCATATCCTTTTAGGAGAAATGTTCATGCAAATCCTTTGCCTATGGAAGTTGTGGGTGTTGTTGAACTTTAGGTGTCTTTATATATTGTGGATATTAATGGCATCATCTGTACATAATGTGCAAGTATTTCCATTTGTTCTTTGGGTCACCTCTTCACTGTATTTTCTGTGATGCACAAACCCTCTTCACTTTCAGGTAGTTCAGTTTATCCATCTGTTCATTGTCTGTTTTTTTGTTGTCAGGACCAAGAAACCATCTTATAGTCCATAATGTTGCGAAGCGTTCCCCTGTGCTGTCTTCTGATAGTTTTGCACTTCCAGCCTTGATTTAGGTCTTTGAGTCTCTGTGAGCTAACTTGGGTGTGCAGCATAGGTTGGGGTCCTTCATTTCCTTGCATGTGGCTATCCAGTTCTCCCAGCACCAGGTGTTGACAGTACTGTCCCTGCATGTGGAATGGTCTTGGCACCCTTGGCAGAAATCCTTGACCCACATCTGATGGCGTACTGTGGTTGGTTTTGAAATGACGCAATGCACATTAACACATACGCACGCATGTTTCTACCCTGCCCGCGTAGGAAGCATCTCACTGTTTGCCATCATCACCGTCATCCTGGGGTGCTTCAAAGTTGGCTACTTCATTGGATTTTCCGAGTGTCTTTCGGCCATGGAAGGCGTTTTCCCTGTCACACACGCGGTGCACACTCTGCTGCAGGTAATCCACCGATACTAACGACGTCATCTATTGTTGTCAAGTGTCATCAAGCACGTCCCTAGGTGTATGAAGTCCCTGGCCATAGAGACACGTGGCAAGTGGGAGCAGCCAGAGCTGCTGCAGACCCGAGCTTTAGAATATGCCAAGTGCTTTCCCCATCTCTGTGTGCGATCCCTCCAGCTACCTTCAACAGCAGGTGTGGGCTCTGCACAGCAGCCAAGGTATGGAACCACCTCGGCGTCTGCTGGTGGATGGATGGATGAAGAAAATGTGGCACATGTGTGCAGCAGAAATCATCCAGCCTTAAAGAGAATGAAATCCTGGGCGGGCGGCAATGTGGATGGGCCTGGAGGACTTTATGTTAAGTGGGTGAGCCAGGCACAGAAGGCTCCTGTGTGCTCCTTCACGCGTGGAAGCCGAAGAGAAAATGAGGGAGATATATAAAGGGCTCAGCAGTGTTTGGCATGGAGTAGGTGCTCAATATGTGTTTGTTTCTAAAATCAAGACTTAGATGTTTTAAAAGTGCTAATAATACTGGTATACAGGAGGCACTCAATCAGTGTCAACGAGTGAGTGAGCAGGCACAGGAGGATATTTGCTGAACACGTTCACATTCCAGGAGCCGGTTTTAAGTGATCAGAATGGATTCTCTCAGTTAATGGCTCACAGTGCCTCCAGGGCAAGTTCCTTATCTTCATTTTGCAGGTGGCAAGCAGTTAGAAAGGTTCCCAGGCTAGCCCAAGGTTTTGAGGCCAGGCAAAGAGGGACTTGGGTCTGATACAGATGGAACATCCCTAATCTGAAACTTTGAGCGGTGACAGGCTGCCGCAAGCAGAAAATTCAACCCTGAATTTTGTGCACAAAATTATGTAATATATGGCATGCATATGAGGCCTAACAGAGAGAATGAATTCTGGGTTTAGACTTGGGTCCCATCCCCAAGATTTCTCATGGCATATATGCAAGTACTGCAAAGTCTGAAAGAATTGGAAATAATCTGGCACCTGGAATCTGAAACACTGCCGGCCCCGGGAGCATTTCAGATAAGAGAGACCAACCTGGGCCAGAGACACAGCTGTCACACCCCGCCCTGTGCTGCTGCTGGGGGCTGTGGCCCGGGGCTGGATAGCACAGGGGAAAGGACCCTGTTCTTCATTCAAAGTGCTCAACATTTAATTTCTGGGCGCTGGCTCTGTTCAATGAATATTTCTTGGCTAAAGCCTGACAAATGTGCTGTCCTCAGACTTCAGGGCTCCTGCCAGGCAGGCTTCCATTCCCACCCCCGCCCCACGGCAGACATCCCCAGTCGACTGCAGCACTCCATCCAAAGAAGACATCACAAGTCAACCGCAGCACCCCTCCCTCCAGACCCGGGAGGCCCCACCTGCTCTCCCCAGGTGCTCCCAGCTCACTGTCCCCAAGGGGCCATGATGCAGCACCTGAGAGAGGAAAGCCACTTGCCTTTCTTGGGGTGGGAGGTCATTCATGTCCCCAGCGTTTTCTTGGACCTTTTCTTCAGGTTTTATAACTCCTCAAGTGCGCAAATCCAAGGACACTTGTCCCACTCATGTCACTTCCTCTTCCTTTCCACCTAGGTGTATTTTCTCTGGGGACATGCCAAGGATATCATCCAGTCTTTCAAAACTCTGGAAAGGTAAAACTTGGGGGGATCGCCTCGCGTGTTGAATTTGGGGTTCTTCTAGAAGGAACCAGCCTCACAGCTGCCTCTTGCTGGGTGGTGAACACAGGGACCCCCTCTCTGCTCAGGGCTGGACAGCGGAGCTCTCCTCGTGGCCAGGAGGGGACCCCGGCTTCAGCCCCTTCCTGGGACGGCCCTGGAGGCAGAGCAGGGTTCAGTTTTGACTCGGCCATCGGCGCCAGTTCCCTTTCATGGCCTCCGTTTCCTCATCTCTGCAATGGGGACGACACGGTGGCCCTCCCTGGAGACTGAGTGAGGCAGTGGACACGGACTAGTGGCTTGGCAAGTGCAGGGTCTGTTCTGAACGGCCTGCCTGGCTCTGCTGACTGGGAGGGCAGAGGACTCCATCTCCAGGACGAGGGGGAGAGCCACCCTAGTCGCATGTAGCAGAGGCCCCGGGCCCCACGCGGGTGCTTCAGGCGATCAGTATTTGCTTTGTTGAATGATCTCTTGCCTACAAACTCTCCCCGAGGAAGGGAAGCTCCCTCACTACCGTTTGGTGGCATCAGGTGACGGCTGATATTAAAACACTGATTTGCGCGTGACCACTGGATAAGCTGCTTTGATAGGCCATTGAATAGAAATAGGTTTTGCCCACCTCACTGTGCAGAACAGGGTGGACATCAGGTGTGTGGGCACCTTGGGGCTTCCTGTGTGCCATGGGGATAAGCCAGGAGGCACAGGATATCCTTGGCTGTTGTGAATGGCACTCTTCAGTGGCCCTGGGCAGCAGTGGTCCCTGTGGTGGCCTTGGCAGTGAATTTTGGCCCCGGTTTTATTAGCCCCGGAAGCCCCACCTCCACCCCCCTGGATCTGGGCATTGGCTGAGCCCAGCTGACTCTGTCGCAGGTGGGTGGCAGCCCTGGGGGCTGCGGGGGCAGTGCTTTTCCTCGCTCCAGCCACTGTTGACTGTGGCCCCAGGACACTGCGGCCCTGACCCTGTCCCTCCAGCAGAGGCCAACTCAGCCCTGCCATCAGGTCTGGGCTGGGCAGTGCAGCGACCACCCCGTGGACGGTGGCCCCTCCAGATGGACACGTGCTGTGTGTGTGGAATATATTGCAGATGTCAGAGTCTAGAACGAAACAGGGCGGAAAGCGCCTCAGTAGGATTTCGGGGTTTGATTGTATGTCACCATGATGTGGCCTCAGGTGTGCTGGGTTTAATGAAGTTTTACTACAGCTATTTGACTTGCCCCTTTTTACCGTTTCTGAAGTATGACCACAGGTGCTCTGGAGCGTCCTGCGTGGCTCTCATGTTGTCCTGCATTGTCTTTTCACCAGGCAGCACTACTCTGGGCCATGCTCCAGGCGTTTGTCTCTGGGGTCTGCCACCTGAGTGGGACCGGGACCTCACACTGCCTCAGCCTTGCTGGTGGAGTGTTTGGAGACAAGTCCAGCCAGAGTGGCTATTTACTCTATGTGTGACCATAGGCTAGGTCCTGAGCCTCAGTGGGACTCCAGAAGCTCAACGATATTATCACTGAGAGGATCTCTCTAGGTTTCTGCTCTTCTATGCTTAGCAAGTTAGTACTTCATCCCATGCTGGTTGCTTCATGGTCATAATATGGCTGCCACAACTCCAGCCTTCATGTCTACACTTAAGAATGTCATAAGAGGGAGCTAGACCTCTCTCATTCTTACCTCTTTCATCAAAAAATGCAAAAGCTTTTAAGTAGTGCCCCATAGACTGAGCCTCACACTCCAGTGACCAGAATGGCTAAGTCTGGTTGCAAGGGGAGCCAGACAGCAAGGCTCTGGCTTGTGTTGTGTGTGGGAAGGTAGGTGGGAAGACAGGAGGCTGGGTGATGATAGCTGGGTGGTCAGTCAGCAGGGCAGCTGTACCCACACTCCAGGTGTCCAGGGTAGCCCTTCCATCTCTTCCTCTCATTGTTCTCCCCCTCCTCTTCCCTCTGGAGGACAGGTCTGGGCTATGGGTGGGGTGTCCTCTCATCGTGAAGTCTCTTCCCCAGAGGCCAGCTTCCAAGACAGTTCCTTTGATGTCCCCTAGACAATGAGTTGAGTCCAGGGAGTTCAAGATGAAGGCAGAATGCAAAAACTCTGTGGTTTTGGAAGGTCCCTGGAGCTGCCTCGCCCAGCCAGACAGAGCCACCCAGAGCCCTGGTGGGGGGGGTGAGAGTGGAGAAGGAGGTGTGCGCACGTGTGAGCGCACGTGTGTGCACGTGTGTGCATGTGCGTGCCCCTCTCACCCCAGGGGGCCTGGATCTGTCCCAGGGCCACTCAAGAGCCGAGCCCTCGTGTCCTTCCCCAGGTTCGGGGTGATCCACTCTGTGGTCACCAACCTGCTCCTCTGGGCCAACAGCGTCCTGAACGAGTCCAAGCACCAGCTGAACGAGCACAAGGAGCGGCTCCTCACTCTGGGCTTCGGGAACATAACCTTAGGTGAGTGGGGCCCTTGCACAGGGCCAGAGTGGCCAGGGTGACCCAGGTGGCCAGGGTGGCCCAGGTGGCAGAGGTGGCCCAGGTGGCCGGGGTGACCCAGGTGGCCGGGGTGGACGAGTGGGCTCCACCAGCTCCTCACTGGCAGGAAGCCCCGCTGTCCCTGCCTCTCTAGGCGGGGTTGCTGAGCGTAAGGAAGGCTTTGTGACCCAGGGCTGGAGCCCAGGGCTGTCAGCGGCTGCCTTTGCTCCTGGCGTGGTGCGGCCTGGGGATGGAGGCTCTGTTTTCCACTGGGGAAGATGGGCGGCTGCTGCCGTTGGTGTTCTTGGTTAAACCTCTGGTGTGAGGTCTTTCTACTAAAGTCATGGCTTAGGGACCCTGGGAGTCTAATGGCAGGCTGGGCTTGGTGGCGCTAATGGGCAGGAAGTGTTCATCGAGCTGGGCTTGCCTTGTGCTCCGGGCCCATGGATACCCTCCCATTCCTACTTGAGAGCCTACAGTATTAGTCTTCTTGTTTCCTTCCAGAGTTCCTAAGGTTTTGTGACCCATCACCTCTGTCCTGGGACATCCTGGGACACCTGAGACTGCAATGTCTTGGGAAGCCATGTGACCTCTCTGAGCCCACCTTTTCTCTTTGTAAATTGGAGGACCGTGTATTTTCAAAGTCTCCTTCCTGCTCTAGTGAGCTGCAGGTCTAGCTTTGCAACCCCAGGCCAGTCCTGAGAGCCCCTTGGAGCCTGCTCCCCACTGGGAGTGAGGGTGACAAATTCAGGCACACATTGTAACTCCTCCTCTGGTGGCCACCCCCGGTAGCCCTCCTGTGTCTCGGGGCTCACTCCCCCTTGGGATCACAGCAGCAGTAAGGCTTCCTCTCATTCTGCTGCAAACACTCAAGTTTCCAGTGCATTTGACTCTACTCTGTTCTCTCCATCTCTATTCTATTCCATTATAATTCATTTGGTCCACAAAAATATTGGCTGCTACCCTCTCAGTACACTTCACAATCTGATATTGGTTTACCCAGCACTTAGAAAATACTGTCTATACAATTTTTCTCCCTTGTAAGATGATTATTTTCCAATCTCATTAAAACATTCTTGTGAAGAATCTTTGCTTTAATTTTTATTTATTTTATTTTTGATATCAAGGATTGAACCCAGAGGTGGTAACCACTGAGCCACCTCCCCAGGTCTTTTTTATTTTTTATCTTTAAGGCCTAGCTAGGTTGCTGGAGCTGGTTTTGAACGGTGGTCCTCCCGCCTCAGCCTCCCAGGTTGCTGGGATTACAGGCCTGCACCTCTGTGCCTGACTTTATTGTTTTTTTTTTATGATTATGGCCATTATTTTAATTAACTCTAAGTCTTAAAACATCTTCTAAGATGTTTTAAGATGAATATTGTAAAGTTTTCTTTTGGCATGGATTTTTTAAATTTATTTTTCAGCAGGTTTCTCTTTTTTGCTCTTTTTAGATACACATGACAGTAGCGTGTGCTTTGACATATTATACATATTGGAGAATAACTCATTGTAATTAGGATCCCATTCCTGTGGGTGCACAAGATGTGGGGTTTCACTGAACATAGGAAGGTGATGTCGATTAATTCTACTGACTTTCCCACCTCCCCTCCCTTCCCCTTTGTGTGACCCACTGAACTTCTATTCTTCTCTCCCCTGTGTGTGTTGGCATCCACATATCAGATAGAACATTTGGCCTTTGTTTTATTTGGAGCTGGCTTATTTCACTTAGCATGATAGTCTCCAGATCCATCCATTTACTGGCAAAATTCATAATTTCATTCTACTTTAAGGCTGAGTAATATTCCATTATGTATATATGCGCATTTTCTCTTTCCATTCATCTGTGGAAGGGCACCTCAGTTGGTTCTGTAGTTCTGCTATTGTGAATTGAGCTGCTATAAACATTGATGTGGCCAGATCACTGTAGCATGCTGATTTGAAGTCCTTGGGGTACATGCTGAGGAGTGGGATAGCTGGGTCAAATGGTCCTTTGTTCTGTGGCTCCGTTGTCTTCTAGCGGTGGTGCCAATTTCTGCAGCCGGCACCCGTGTCTGCGTGTGCCCATCCCATGCCACTCTGGTCAGGGCTGTGTCTTCAGGGAAAGCCTTTGCTAACTGGAGGGGCATCTTCCCTAAAGAGCATTTAAAAATAATTTTTAAAACCACACACAGAGATCCTATTCACGAGAAAATTCAGTAATACAGAAAAGCCAATGCAGAAGGAAACAGAAATCCCTTCCCTTTTGCGGGAGTTTTGTGCCCACGGCTCCCCTCTGGCTCGTGTCCTCTGACTGCGGAGGTAGGTGTCAGCCACGAGTCTCTATCTCTCGAAGGTGGAGGCAGGGTCTCCTCTTGGGCCCCTGTTTCAGCTCAGAGCAGCCGGTGAGCGCACTGGGGGCACTGGGGGTGGCCGGTCCTGCAGCTGCCCGTGCTCTAAGCGCAGCGCAGAGGGGCCACCGCACTCCCAGCTGGGGTCCGCGGCTTGCTGGGCGGGAGGCCGCCTGGCGTCCAGGGTGGCGGCTCTGTGCTGACCTCCGGCTCTGCTGTCCCCCCAGTCCTGGACGACCACACGCCGCAGTGCAACTGCACGCCGCCCGCGCTGTGCCCGGCCGTGTCGCGCGTCATCTACTACCTGTACCCCTTCAACATCGAGTACCAGATCCTGGCCTCCACCATGCTCTACGTCCTGTGGAAGAACGTGGGCCGCAGGGTGGACAGCCCCGCGCGCCCCGAGATGCGGTTCCAGTTCAGCCGGGGGATGGCGGGCGCGGCGCTGGGCCTGGGCGTGCTGGCGGCCACCATCGGGGTGGTGGCCGTGTACCTGGTCCACATCGGGCGCTCCAGGACCCAGAGCGAGTGGGCGCTGGTGCTCTTCTACCTGTCGGCCACCAGCCTGCTGACCCTCATGGGCGCCGCGGGGCTGCTGGGAATCTGGGTCTGCAGGATGGACGAGCAGTCGCTGGATGAGTCCAAAAACCCGGCCCGCAAGCTGGACGCGGACCTCCTGGTGGGCACGGCCTCGGGCTCCTGGCTCATCTCCTGGGGCTCCATCCTGGCCATGCTCTGCGCCACCACCCGCCCGCGCTACACCTGGTTCAACCTGCCCTACTCGGCCCTGGTGATCGCCGAGAAGTACATCCAGAACCTCTTCATCATCGAGTCGGTCCACCGCGAGCCCCAGCCGCTCCGCGAGGACATCCGCACGCTCCGCGTGGTGGCCGTCTGCAGCGGCGGCACCTCCTCCCTGGCCTCTTCGGGCCCCCGGAGGGGAGCCGCGGCCGGGGCGGTCAACGGGAGTCTGCAGCCCGGTTGCGGCAAAGAGGAAGAGGAGGGGGGCCGCCCGCCTCGCGAACCTCGTGTCCTGCAGGGCAGCACCAGGAGGAGCGTCTTGAGGAATGTGGCCGTCTTCCTGTTCCTCTGCAACATCTCGGTAATCTCCCCAAGCTCCTGGGATGATCTGCCAATCAGCTAATCTGTTTTCCTCACCTTTTCCAAATGAGGGGTGGGGGTGGGTGGTACCGAGAGTGAATGTGAGGTTAAAAGGGGACTCGAGTCCTGGGAATCCTGGTGGAGCACAGGGCACACAGAGGGCAGGTGAGAGGACGCCAGCTCTTCCCTTGGGAAGGTCGAGCTCCGTTGCCATGTGCAATAGGAGTGTGGATCCAGGGGGGACTTCCCTGCCAGTATCAGTCAGCATTACTTTGGTTGCAGATGATGGGCTTACATCTCAGTGACATTTACCGCTCTCACAGGACGCTGAGGATCTTCTGCTTGGGTTGGGTCTGCAGCTGAATCATGCCATGGAACTCCATCTTTCCTCTCAGCCATACTCTGCATGGTGCTTGCTGCCACATGGTGTTAAGATGGCTGCAGCAGTACCAGGCATCAGGTTTGGGCTCAAGATGGAAAACAGAGGGACAGGCTGATGCTGTGCAATGTCTCTCCCATAGCCACCCCTTGCTGCACCAGATGCTGGAAGCACAGGGGGTTTGCTTTCCAGCCCCGTGACTGAAGCCAATCATGGAGAAGCTGTGGTCACTCACATAAAGTTGCTTGACTCAGCCTCAGGGACTGGTTGGGACCAAGTGGTCAAGACGGGGAAAAGCATTTTGGGCAGAGGCATATAATGTGCAAAGACTCAGAGGCAGCGGACACTGTGGCATATTTTGGGAGCACGGAGCATGGACCACATCCATGTCTAGCAGAGAGGCAGAGTGGGACTCAGGAGGGAGGGTCCCCTTGGGTGGGCTCTGGCGTGAGTGGCCTCCTTGCCTGGGCTGGGGTTCAGCCTTGGTGCTGAGGGCAGGACGGGGCGCTCTGGCATCGTCTTGGAACAATGCCCAGGCAGCCATGTGCAGGAAGGGGGCAGAGGTCAGGCACACAGCTGGGAGACCAGTGGGCTGCAGCCTGGGAGGGAGGCCCGCAGCAGCCCAGGCAGGACAGGACGGGCGGGAGCCAAGGCGGAAGTGGTGGCATGGAGAGAAGAGGAAGGGACAAAACCCGGCCTGCTCCTGGGGTTTCTCTAGAGCCGGAGTTTCCTGGAGGCCTGTGGCAGTCACAACCAGGGACAGGGGAAAGCTCTGGGGCTCACGTACGCAGAGAAGGGAGGGGCCCAGGAAGAGCCTGGGACCTGACGGCCATAAGAGGCTGAGCAAAGGAGAAGCTGGCAGAGGGGACTGGAGAGGACCAGCGGAAGTGGCAGGAGGGCCCCCAGAGGCTCGGGAGCAGGCTGGGGGAGTCCCTCGGGGATGTTATGAGGCCACACGTGTCAGTGACCTCTGCGGGTAAGAAGCCACCCCAAGCTTGGCAGCTCAGCACCACAAACATTAACCACTTCATGGCGTCCGGGTTCTGCAAATCCAAGTGCAGCTCAGCTGGGTCTGCTCAGGGCCCTTCCAGGCTGCAGGCTGTGGGCAGGCTGCGTCCCTGCCAAGGCCTCATTTGGGGATCTCATTCCAGACCCAATCCATGGCTACTGGCAGGGTTCTGCTCCTTCGGGGCTGTTTGAAGGCCCGTGTTCCTTGCTGGCTACTGGCCTGAGACCTTCTCTGTACCCAACCCCGGGCCTCTCCAGAGGGCGGCTCAGCCTGGGACAGTCTAGGACCCTGGCCTTCTCTCTTGCAGATGGCAGATCTGACTTTGGAGGTGACTTTTGTCCTGTTCTGTTAGGAGTGCTCAGTGGGCTCTCCTGCATTCCAGGGGATGGAACTGCACAGGCCGTGACTCCAGGAGCTGGGGACACTGGGGTCATGCTAGGGGCTGCCAGGAGTGGGAGTGGAGGGTGCTCCAGAAGCATACAGTAGGAGCAAGAGTCCCGGACCGAGCAGGGTGCCCTGACAGTGGCGGAGGGGAAGGGGCCTGGCCAGACTGAGGGGGGTGGGGCCGGCGTGCGGGTCATTTCTGTACATTTTACCAACTGAATTCTCACCTAGGCCCTCTCAGAGGTGCTAGTCTTCCTGTGTTACAGATGAGGAAACTGAGGCTGGGTGGGGCTGGTGGGGAAGGAGAGGAGGGGACAGGTGCCCACGGTACTGACTGCGGGGACTTGTGGGTGAGGATGGAGCAGGCTCTTGGGAGGCTGGTGGGTGCGACGTTTCCATGGAGACAGGAGCCTGCGGGGCTCAGCATCCTGCCAGGAGTAATGCAGGCTCCTGGATCTGGGCAGCGCCCCCCTGTGTTGCCTGGCGGTAGTGCGGCTTCCTCCAGGATGGGAAGCCGCTCACCTTGACAGACTCCTTCTTCTTTTGCAGCTTTGGGTACCTCCCGCCTTTGGCTGTCGCCCCGAGTACGACAACGGACTGGAGGAAGTCGTCTTTGGCTTCGAACCCTGGATAATTGTGGTCAACCTGGCCATGCCGTTTTCTATTTTCTATCGAATGCACGCGGCTGCCTCTCTCTTCGAAGTCTATTGTAAGATCTAGTCTGGTCCACACAGGATTGGGGTCCAGCTGGCGGGGCAGTGCCCGGGGCCACCTGGGAATGGCCGGGCTGGGCAAACATGGCCTGACTAACCGAGGAGGCGCCTTTGTCTGCGTGATTGTGTGTCTTGTGGGCAAACAATCAGATCAAAGCCTGCGAGGAGGCCCAGATCCATCCTCGGTTAGTTGATTCTAGTCAAACCCAAATCATTTTATTTCCTTCTGAGTGAAACCCTCTATTTTAGAAAAATGTGATCTTAGGTTGGGAAAAAAATGTCAAAACAAAATGCACAGTTTGTTTTTCATAAAAAGCACTTCCTGTTTGTGATTTATCAGTGACCACTTACAGCCTTATTATTGACCATCTATCCGCAGAGCAACCACTTCAATTTTGTCCTCAGAGCTGATTGAATGTAGCTACAGACACGTTTGGTTAATATTTTAGTTTCTGAGTAGGTCTAATTTTTGAACAAAATTACTTCGATCACCTGGATGGAAATTTGTGTATAGGTTAATGTAAAGACACATTCCTTACCTGAAATTTTGTGATCATTTTGACGTATTTTAAAAAATAAAGTTCACTCTTTTTTATTTCACTATAAATGTGTATATGTTTATTATAGCAAAGTTGGACACTTCAGAATATTAGGGAAAAAATCACCTGTGATGCTTTTGTTCAATTAAACAGTTATGTTTTAACCTCCGGATGTATTTCTTCTCATCAGGAGGATTCGGGGATTCCTTTGATTGTTATATGGCTCAGTGATGATCCAACATTTTAAATTTTGTAACCCAGTGTTTCAATTTTGTAACCCACATTTGAGGGAAAGGTGTCTCTGTGCTTAGCCTGTACACCACTGTGTTACCACTGTTTACACAGCACACACACTTTATAAGGCATTGTAAGTAATCCAGAGACCGTAAAGTGTATGGAGGATGTGCATGGGACATAGTAACACCAGGCCACTTGTACACAGGCCTGGAGCCTAAGCATCCTCAGGCTTTGGTACCCACATGGGCCCTGGAATCAAGCCCTGAGGATACCAAAGGACAGTTAGATGCCTCAAATCCAGAGGCCTTGTCCAAAGGTTAGAAATATTTTAACGTCTCCTAAGGGACATTGACATTTGGGTAGGACTTTTATGTTTTTCCGTAACTATTTTAAAATGCTAGTAAAATTGGCTTACTTACTGTACGTACCAACACGAATGTCTTATCTGAGTGTTTTTATTTTTTTGACAGCACAGGCCATGGACCATTAAGAAACACCAAGTTTTTTTTTTTTTTAAATTTTTAATGTGAGTAAATACTTTATATTCATCTTAGTGAAAACAGCAACAAACAATATAAAAAACAGGCCCACATCCTAAAAGCAGGGAAAGGCCCCCTGTGATGCTTTCCATCTGGAGCGCTGGTTCCCAACCGGGGCCTGGGGCCCTCAGGAGGTGTCTGTCGATTGCCATCACTGCGAGGTGCTACTGGCCTCTAGTGGAGGAGACCAGGGACGTGTTGAGCATCCTGCAGTGACCAGGACAGCCCCTCCCCCAGAATCACCAGGCCCCAGATGGGATGGAGCCGAGGTTCAGAAATCATGATCTGGAGGTAACTGCATAGGTAACTGCTGTCAGCGGGGTTCCTAGGCACCTGTCAGGACACACACACACACACACACACACACACACACGGGATCACTTTTTCATGCACTGAATTGCCATGTAACCTGCTTTCTTCCTCTTAGCTCACAGTGAGCTTGTTGAATGTTTCCCAGGCCCCGCGGTGCTGAGCTCACCCTCTTAGTGTGCACAGGAACCTCTGGGAGCCCTCAGGACCCTTGTCCGCCCGCTGACATTCAGAGGCAGTGGTCAGCAGTGGCCCGTGAGCTGCAGGGGGTCTGAGGACCCACAGGAAGGCTCCTGAGAGGCTCCCTTGACCTGGGTGCTCTTCTGCCCCATGGTTTTGGGTGGCTTTCAAGTGCGTTCTTGGAGGAGCGAACGTTTCTTCATTCAGCTGATCGTGCAGGAGGACACTCAGGTGGCTTCCCTCTTTTCTTTGGGTTGCTATTACGAGTGGCCCCATGGTGAGCTCTTAGCAGTCTTTGGCCACAGGGACAAAACGCTGGGACTGACCCTGACTCAGGCAGTGCAGGAGAACTCTGGTCTCTGTCTTTGCTGGCATGAATGTTCTCGGGGCTCTCAGCACCCTGGGGCCTCAGCCTCTAGTTTGGGGGCTTTGCCACGGTGATGAAGGGAGAGGTGCCGGGAACAACTGAATCGGGCTGTGGCAGTGTCAGGCTGGTCGCACGGCCCTGTCGGAGCTTGGCAAGTCTGCACAGCCTGGTTGGGCTCTGAGCTTCTGAGGGTAGACCTAAACTGGAGCCTCTTAGTCCAAGCAGACAGAGGGGTGAGGCCTCAGTCATCAGCTTCACCCACAAGTCAACAAGTTCCTGACTTTGGCTTAGGCATCAGGGAAAATGGATTGTTTCACACCAAGGCAATGTGCAGGAGAGGAGCCAGAGTGTGTAGGACACAAGTGTTAGGATCTCAGGGTTATAATAAGGGGAGACAAATGACCACAATAACTAATACTACTTCTTACACATCAGATTAGCAAAGGTGGCAGGATGCATGTGTTAGTCTTTTCTGTTACTATGACAAAATACCAGAGTCAGAGTGTTTATGAAGAAAAAAGGTTTGCTTAGCTCACAGTTTGGGAGGCTGAAAAACCAGTCTTTGACAGTTTGGAGGCTTGTCTTTGTTTAGATCTGCTGAAAGTCCCGTGGCAGATGGTACCATGGCAGAAACATGTGCAGGTGAGATCATGTGGCTAGATAGGAAGCTATAGGGAAGGAGCAGCCAGGGTCTCCCTCTCATAACAACCCCCTCATGAGAACTAACTTAGGGTCCCCCAGGAACCATGCTAACGGCAAATGTCAACATGACCAGTGACCTACTTGCTCCCACTGGGCTTCACCTCTTGGAGGTTCCACCACCTCTTGACACTGGCATACTGGGGACCAGGCTTCTGAGACAATGTACCCTTGGGGACAACTACAACCAAACTGTAGCAGTGTGAGGGACGGCCAGAGAGAAAGCTGGTAGAAGACGGGAGAGCAGTGGGCGGCCCCGGGCAGGCTGGAGAGCGCTATCCTGAAGGCTGGAACCCTGTTCCCCAGCGCAAGCTCCAGAGGCCCCCGCAGGTGTGTGGGCAGTTCACGGCTGCGCTGCTCCTGCCTGGGGAACAGCCCGACGTCTGGACCGAGTAGGGGCTGCTCCTAGGGGGAATATTTATTTCACAGGAGTGAAAACAAACAGGCCAGAACTCCATGTGTCCACGTGGACAATCCCCCAAACAATGTCAACTGACAAGGTCTACAGCAAAACACTCCCCGGTGTTGGAGTGACATCCACAGGGAGTCAAATTTAGCCCCACGTGAGGAAGGAGTGGGCTCCAGGCTCAGCAGAGCGGGAGGGCGGGCTGGATGGAGACCAAGGGCGGAGCCCGGGCTGCGTCTGAAGCGCCTTCTGTCTTAAGCACCGAGACTACATGAAGGAGGCGTCCTTTGGGTTTTCCCTGGTACATTTTCATATGCAGGAGACATTTTGTAAGAAAAAAAATTTTTGAAAGAAAGAAAAAAGAGTCACTGTAAGGGAGATGAACTTAGAGCCATCAGAGAAGGTCACTTCCAGTGTCCACCCATCATGGCTGAACAGTGGGCGTCCAAGCCAGCATCGTCTGGGCTCCTAGGCGGGCAGATTCCTGAGTAGCTCAGTGCTTAGCTGTTAAGAGCAGCTGCCTGTTGAGAGCCACAGCCAAAGGGGCCCCAGCAAACTTTCAGACTGCCAGCTGATGATTGGCTCACAGCGCCCCAGCAACTTCTAGCTGATTGGCTCCTCTGCGGTGATGCTCATTGGGCTGTTTCCCCGCCCTTTCAGACTACGGAGCTGCTCATTGGGGGACTTTTTTTTTGGCTCCACCCACTGGACCCAGCCAATTGGCCTCAAGAGTGACGTTGTTTGGACCTGGGAGGTAGGAGGTCACCATGGTGGGGTCCTCTTGAACGGGATTAGTGCCCTGGTAAGAAGAGCCAGAGTCAGTAGCTGTCTTCTGCCATCTGTGACGGGAAGGGCCCACAACAGAACCCATGTGTGCTCACACCCTGATCTCAGATTCCAGCCCCCACAACTGCCAGAAATAATGTCCACTGTTGACAGGCTGCTGAGTTCCTGGCATTTTGTCATAGCAGCCCGAGCTGACGGACACCTTCTGTTGTGGCCTTATGCAGAGGCAGAGGGAGCTGGCACATCTGGCAGCTTCAACGTGTGCCTGAGCTCCAAAACCAGGATTTGGACTCGTGTTCCTGGTGTGGGGCTCTTGGAGCCACAGAGTGGAGGGGCGGGACTGTGCAGATGGGCATCCAGGGGTCAGCTGGCTCCTGTGGTAGCTGGTGTGCACGAGGAAAGGCATCCCTGCCACAAGATGGCTCCAAATTGCTGAGCCAAACCTCCCAGCCGCTCACGTGGGCATTGGGACTCCTGTGTCTGGCCACCCAGACGGTAGAGGATCCAGTTGGAGCAGCGCTAGCTGCTGTCTTCGGTTACACAACCTTCCCCACTTCAAAGCTCTTCTGATGTCCACAGCTATGGCTGTCTATGTCTATGAGTCCTAGCTGAGTTGGCTGAGTGACCTGGTCAGGTAGACATGGCCACCCAGGCAGGACACAGGGGAACTTTGGGCCACGCCCACATAGCTAGTAAGTTGCAGCAATGGACGCTTCTGCCAGATTTTAAAACTCCGCTGCCTTTTCTTCACTCTGTCCCTCCCCAACCTCCTCTGTGGCACTGGGGATTGAACTTGGGTCATTTACCACCAAACTACATTCCCAGTCCTTTAAAAATTTATTTTACTTTATTTTTGAGACAGGGTCTCACTAAATTTTTGAGGTTCCTGCTAATTTGCCCAGGCTGGCCTTGAACTTGGGATCCTCCTGCCCCGACCTTCTGAGTCACTGAGGTCACAGGTATGGTCAGGCGCCCGGCCCTTTACCTTTCAATCAACCTTATCATCTTAGAAACAAAGTCAGCACAGTTAACCACCCCCTCTCCCCTCGGAACTGTTTCTTGGGTGTAGGTGTTCAGGAAAATCAGCTGACCCAAGATACCACTGTCGCCAGTTAGAAAATACTACACTTGGCTTAAAGTTGCCAAGCGCGTTCTCCCGCAGGGACCGGAGCCTTGCTGTGGAGGGCGTGGGCAGCAGGGGGCGCCGGTGCTCTTCCCGCCGCGCTGCCTCACGACCTTGGAGCGCAAACCAGAGACCAGGAGCCGGTGGGTGGGCCTGGGTGGGCCTGGGTAGGCCCTAGCCTTGGGAGTCACAGATGAGGGGCGCGCGCAAGAGGCCCCCTTGCACGCGCTCTCTAGGACCCCCGTGGCATGTATCACAGATGCCTGTCACCACTGCCAGATGAAGGGTGGGGGTGGGGATTCCGAGGTCTCTTATGAAGCCAAGGGCAGCTTGGATGGTCCCCATGGATGTTCCCTCTAGGGGACAGGCTTGTCACTCCCTGTGGGCTCCTTGTCCCTGTCAAGAGGCGTTGGAAGGCTCCAGGGATTGCAGGAGGTTCCAGGGGGTGTGATCGGC